ATAATTCTGTGGATAAGACAAATTGCTGTAAGAATGACAATCGTTGACTAAGATTTTTTTACAAATGTCATATATTTTTACAAATGTCATATATATATATATATATATATATATATATATATATATATATATATATATATATATATGTATGTATGTATAGGGGAGAGGTTATACTTGCTAAACGAGAGAAAATAAATAATTTAAAGAGAAAAATGAAGCCGAAAACGTTTTTGGCTGTAATGTGAATTTTTAAAAAAATATATTATACTTTATTTTCTATTATATATATATATATATATATATGTGTGTGTGTGTGTGTGTGTGTGTTTATATTACTTTTGATCTACCTTGTGTATTTCGCACTTTACGTAGTTAGTTTTACACGTTTTGGACGTTTTTTTCTTTGGACTCTGAGCTTGAATTCTGGACGATTGTTTTCGCTTCAATTTCATGTTCTTTGTTCTTTCTTTTTTTTTTTTGATTCCTCAGTTTTTCTTGAGTATTGGTTTGTTCATTTACAAGCCAAAATACCTATGTTTTTCCAAGCGAGTACCACTATATATATATATATATATATATACATACTTCCTATGTTGTAGGTTTCGTGTATGTGCATGTGTTTAGTCTATTGTGTTTATTTTTTGCCGGTATATGTATATATATTCATTCTCCATAGATATTTGTGTGTGTGTGTTGTCCGACTACTGTATTCAGGCATTATATATATATATATATATATATATATATATATATATATAGCAAATAAATCGAAAATACTGAATACTGTTTTTGAAGGTAGAAAAGTTATTCCTGATTCGTTGTTGCAAAGTAATTAGTCCAGATAACAAATCAATAAATACAACGGCCAGATATGCTTAAGTAATAGGCATCTGTCTGTGTATTGGGGTAGAGGCTGTATTCACACGCGAACAACACTTGTAATTTAAATCATATTTAAATCCATACAGTTCTTTTAGTCCTACCATTAAATGAGGAATTTTACATTGTTGCCGCAAGAAATCATTCACTGTCTTTCCATTTACTTGCCCTTATCGGATTGAGCTAACATTCTATATAACCTGGAACATTTGGTGACATTGGTTGTCGTTCGAACCTATTTAAAACTGGATTTTCAATCTTCAGGGCATAAACTTTTGTTTCGTTTTGTTTGTCTGTTTAACGGCATATCAATATCTTATGGGTCATTTGGTGTCGAAATTCAAATTCTTGGGAGCTTTGGTTTTTCTTTTTTTTTTTACAAAAATTTAGTGTATCTGTCTATATTTCTGAGATGAGGTATTATTTACATTATTCGGGCTATTGTCCTCATCTTTGTCGCCATATTTATTACAACGTTTCGGCCGTTGTACGCTCCGCACTTCTTCAATTGGTTGGAATGTCGACCTGAACCCTTTATTTCGCTCGCTGGGGTAGACTGTTCAAGTTTCACGTGCCATGTTTAATGGATATCAGTTATCAGCTATCTCCTGTTAATTTCCCTCTGAAAGTTCTCCACTGCCTTAACCGGGTATTGAACTCACACTCTTTGGGTCCTGTCACTGGATCTAACTAACGCCTTTATTCACTGTGCCATGTGTCATCTGGGTATGAATTTCTGGGTATTATAAACCTAGTGTCTCAGCAACCATTTTTTTTACCAGTGCTCATATTGCAATTTTTTCTGTTATCATTTCATGTTTTTTTTACCAGAGCTCATACTGCAATTTTTGTTGTTATTATCTCTTTTCTCTGTCACTCTTTATTACTGGTTTCCATATTGTATTCATTTCTATGCTTGGTCGGCTCAAGAGATTTTTCTGGCCTAGCATATGTGCTGATTCCTTAAGTTTACGAATTTTCCAATGGTGTTCTTTATGATCTCAGCCTGATCCCACAGAGGGCGGTGATCTCCCTTCTCTCTCCATATGGGGTCAGCCAAGCCTGATTTTTCCACTTCCCCCCGTGATACAGCTTTCTGGTGTTCTTCAAGCCTTACCTTAAGGGGGCGGCCTGTCTCTTCTTTATATTTCTTTCCGCAGCTGCACGGGATAGCGTACACGCAGTTTTTAAGTCATGTGCTCCTCTATTTATTGGTCGTAATTTATTTACGATGAAAATGTATTTCTGCTATTTGTACTATAAAAATATATTTTTTATACTTCCATAGTGTATTGACCCAAGTTTGGTGGTTCATTATTCGCCTAGAGTTGGGACCCTAACAGCCGCTACCTCTCTGGGTCAGGGCGAACCTGGGAACAATAGCTATTAAGACGTGGTGATCAGGCTCCTCAAAACCTCCCAATCATTGCTGCCGGGTGTAGTTTATCGTCATACCTAGGACGCCTGGGTACTTTCTGGATTGGAAATAGCTACAAAACACACTTCATGTCTTTATTTTTTTATTTTACTTCTCCTCGTGCCACACAAAACCAATTTTAAATATCTGACACCATTGATGTTGCGGACAGGTGTACGCGTTGAGAGATAAACACGTGTGTCTCATGAAATGCCCACAATCAACGTGGCAGGCTCGGAATATGAGTCCAAGCAAAAAAAAAAAAAAGGACCAATATATATGTGTACAAACAAATGATAATATATTAACAATAAAGATTTACATAGAAAATAGAATATTATTGCGTGTTGCTGAGCAATGAACATGAATGAAGAAAACATTTAAGTTAGTGAATTGTTTGCGTATGTATAGTTTGGTGTAGGAGGAATTCCCAGAAAAAAAAAATTAAATGAAATGTGCGTTCGTACGTGTGCGTGTCTGTGTATTATTCACGCTTTTCCAAAAGGGAAGCGTTCTTCCGCGAGAGACTTACATGTTGACGTCCATGCGGAAAAATGAGAAGAAGAGGGCGAGAAAAGATATCGCCGAGTATTTATAGTCCGGAAAGCGTCCCCTCGTCGCGGTTTCGAAAATTAAAGGGAGGTTACACCGACAATTGACATTATTTTTCATTTAATTTTAATCCATGAGTGATTGGTGTATACGATATATATATATGTATATTCATGACATCTAATTATTTAGGATATGCAGGTGGGTTTTATGTCTATCGGCGTTGAAAGTGTAATCGACCAGAAAAGTTCGAATTACGGCCGCCTCCGTTGGGATCACATTCGCACAGACTGAGGAATTATGGATTAAATAACGACTTACACTTGCCATGGATGGAAGCTAGTCAAAGTGAAGGAAAGTTTTTCTTAATTCAAAATTATAGAGAAATCAAGGCAATCCACCCTCCCACTTTGGCATGAAGTCATAGCAATTGAAAGGAATCTGTGGAGAGTCATGATCGACTACTTCCTGAAAATTAAATTAAAATGAAAAAGTTCAGTATGTATGTATGTAGGCATCCATCTATCTATCTATCTATCTATCTATCTCAGTCTCTTCATATCTATGTATCTATCTACGTTCGATATCTATCTATCTATCTATCTATCTATCTATCTATCCCAGACTGTTCGTTATCTATATAAGTCTGTTCATATCTATCTATAAAAAAAAAAATAAATAAATAAAAAGAATACCCGCTCGGCCCGGTAGCTAGGATCAAAGTGTAGTATCTGCGCTTTGTGAGCTGCCGGGTCGGATGTCTGTCGAACTCTCTGCTTGCAGAGAGGAACTCGGACGAAGCTCCGCCGAAGGGTAGGGTTTCGTTGGCCCGCCTCGGTAGGTTTGGATGGTTATTTATTTTTGGCTGGGCCTACGGGCTCGGAGATACCCACATTAAAAAGGCCTTGTGCCACATTCGATCCCCGTGGGTGGATTGATAATTACCATCTATCTATCTATCCATCTTACCTAAATTCATGTTTACGTGTCAAACATGTTTTAAATCTCTTTTAAAAATGTTGAGCATTACTGGCTCAATATTTTGTTGCAAATTTCCGTCTCTAATTACAACGCTGTTGTACCTTCCATGGGACTTTCAAGGTGCACGGTTTTTTTTAAGGGCTCTTAATGACATACCAATCCAGATTGCCTTCTCGGGCGGTGTTAGGGTATGCTTCCAAAATCAGACGAACATTTCCCATTGCTTCATGGCTCACTCACATGTTCGCGCCTGAACGACAACGACGACGACGATGACGACACACACACACACACACACACACACACACACATGGTTACACGAATATTTACCGGGAATCTTGCGTCGATGTAAAGGTAACAAACGAGTCTAACATGCTATTAGTAAAATAAAATAACGTCAATCTTCATTGGGCACCCTGAAATTTTAATCATGTATAAACGAAAATAACTATAAAATTTAATAAGATGGTTTAGTAGTAAAAAAGATTACTAACGGATCTGATTCATACAGATGCTCAAAAATTATGACCTTGTGCAAAACTTAGCAAATCATAGGCTCGGAAAGCTATATATACATGCACAGATTATATATATATATATATATATATATATATATATATATATATATTATTTCTAAAAAGTTAATGATTTTTTATTTATTAATCCGACATTTCGCTGCAAACATTATTTTTTAGTGGGTAGCCATATTTTTGGTGCTTTGTTTATTAAAAGATGACATCGTTTAGTAAAGGGGCAACTTTATCTTTAATAAGAGTTCTCGGTAGACGAAAATAAATAAATATACTCTTTAACAAATAAACGTTGTTTCTACAAAAAATATTCAATAAAATCAACGTTTAAAGTGACAGAATATATATATATATATATATATATATATATATATATATATTGTCATTCACAGACAGACTGTTTCGCTGTATCAAAGCTTATCAGTGTGGCTACATATATATATATATATATATATATATATATATATATATATATGCAGTAAAGGTAATAAATCCGTTGGTATATAATCCGAGTGGATACTAGTAATATAAAATATTAAAACTGATCCACAAAAAGAGCTCAATGCATTTATTATTAAAGACCAAATAATTAATAAACATTAAAATCCTAAATCACCTCATATGGGGAATAGCCTATTTCG